CCTGTCTGATGGGGGAGACACAGGAGGTCCCCCCCACCCCACTCTCAAGGGAAGCAGTCCAGGCTCTTCCTGCTTCTGGTTTGCCCTGGGGAGGGGCTGTGGGCCAGACTCAGACAGCGTGGGGGAGGGGCTCTGATGACCCTGTGGGCCCGGCCTCCCCAGGAGCTGCTATGCGGGGAATGCCCAGGCTTGGCTGGCCAGATACCAGAGGCAGCTCACGTGACTGGAAGGTGGGGAGAGGGAAAGGAGAGCCTCCACCTGGCCGGTGAGGCACACTCCTCTGTCTGCTACCCGGGCTCCAGCCTGCCCAGAGCAGCTCCCTGCGAGTCTGGTCTGGGAGGGGAAGGCGGCCCCCGGGGGGGCCCTGGGCCCACACCTCTGCTTGTCCTTTTCAGCTTGGCTATGAGAAAATGCTTGCCTGGGCCTTTACCCTGCAAGAGGGCTGCTACAATCCCCACCAAGGGTCTGGAGAAAAGGGAGACTTGGGCCCACCCCATTTTACAGATGGAGCTATGGTGGGGTAATGGGTTTGAGTTGGGCTGCCAACCCTGAAATTAGTAGTTCAAAAGCACCATCCGCTCCCCGGGAGGAAGAAGAGGCTTTCTACTTCCGTAAAGAGTTACAGTCTTGGAAATCCACATGGGGCCGTTCTGTCCTGCCCTACAGGGTCTCTAGGGGGCATACGGCAGGAGGCTGGATGAAGTTTCGCTTCTGCACACAGCCTCCTGCCTCCTCACTGGCCGAGCCCATGACCCCAGGCTCCTCTGGCCCCAGCCCTGCCCTGTGAGTCCCATCCCAAGGCAAAGTCCCGTTTCTGAGCCGGGCTTCAGGACAGCCTCTTGGCAGCCAGTCCTTCCCCTGATTCCAGGTATCCTACTGACACGTGACACCCCTCAGCCCAGCCCTGCTGTGCCTGTCTCTGGCTGTCCCCAGTGACTGCCGGCTGAGACAGGAATCTGGGATGGCTCTGGGGACACTCTTGGGTTTAGGGCGCCCAGTGCTCACCCTCTGGGTTGGCCAGGCAGGGGTAAAGGGCAGCCTTCCAGATTTCCGGAAAACTGAGCAAAGTGGACAGAGTGGCGTGGGGACATCCTTTGCCCACCCTCTCCCGGGGCAAGTCTCCTCTCTTCCTGTCCCTGTCCCTGTCCCTGCCCCTGTCCCCACCCTGTGATCCTCTTCCGGCTCTGGAGTCAAGGGCAAAGCATACTGCTGAACAAAGGCCCCCCATTCAGCCCCGAAGCTGCCCAGTCTGTTTCTGCCCACCCCTGCCCAGAGGGCGTTGGCAGGGCTGGGTCTGTCTCCCTGGCTTCTACTCTGGCTCTGGCCATGGCCTTTCCGCACGGCCTGACTCCAGGGTGGAGAGGGGCTCAACCAAAGAGGGTGCTGCCCCTCTGCCCTGGGCACCCCCAAACCAGCTCTTCTGTTTCTTGTGGGAGTTCTCTGGTTCTTGTCCAGAGGAGGTGGAGGCTTGGGTGCTGGTCCTGCTTGAGGTCTGACCACCATCAACAGCTCTCCCCTTATCCAGCATCTCTCTCTGAACTGCTGTCTGAGTCTGGCCTTGTCTACCCACCCTCAGCCCCGTGTGGTCTATCTTGGGAACCTGGCTCCTTGCTCTTTGAATCTTAGATGCCAATGTTCCACAGATGGCCAGGGCTGCCCTTTCTGTAGATAAAGCCCAGAGAGGGGAAGTAAACTGCTTTATGACACCCAGCATGTTTGTGGCTGAACAGAGACTAGATCCTGGGGCTCCCGATTCACAGCCTAAGCACCTGGCCCATCAGCCCCCTGTTCTTTTTCATGAGGGGGCTCAGCTCCACCCAGCAGCCCCTTTTACCACGTACCCACCCTTGCTGTCCTTCCCTCTCTACAGCAGGATGTCTGGGCCCCTCTCTCCGGCCAAGGTATCCCTCTGACCTTGGGAGCTGCGTCTCTCCTCAACTGTATCACACTTGGCTTTGAATTCCGCCCTTTTGTCTACGTGGAGTCTCACCTAGAGACTGGGAGACACCGACTGCCTGCCTGCCAAGTGTTTAGAGGGAAGAATGCGGTTCATCTGATGATAAAGATAGCCAGACCTTTCCTCACACTGTGCCCATCAGGGTTGGAGGCCTGCACTTTGACCAGAGATGACTGAGGCTTGGCAGCCAGGTGCTAGCTCAACTCTGTGCCCATCAGAGTGGCATGTAGAGGGGAGAGATCTGGTGGGTTCTGCGTTGGGGCTGCTAGCGGCAAGGTCAGCAGTTTGAGCCTGGCAGCCGTTCCCCAGGAGGAAGAGGAGGCTTTCTGCTCCCATAGAGATTTACTGCTTCGGACTCCTTAGAGGGGCAGTTCTACTCTGCTGCGTGGTTTGGCTCTGAGTAGGAATTGACTCGACAGTAGTGAATTTTCTAGTGCAGTTTCCCTCTCCTAAGGGCCGTGCCTGGTGCACATGGTCACCAGCATGCTGCGGTTCAAGTCCACCCACAGGTGGCTCTGGAGAGAGGTGGGGGATCTCTCCTGCACAAAGCAGCTGTTGTGAAGCCTTCGCCCGGAGCACGAGGTTACCATGTGCGGCGTCGCCGAGTTGACCCGATGACGGCGGGATGTGTTAGTTCTCCTTTATTTCCTGGTGGCCGAGTGAGTGTTGGACTGCAGACTACAAGGTCATCGGTTCAGCTCCGCGCCGCCCCCCGCCCCCCAGAGAGAGCTGAGAAGGAGATAGCTGCTCCTGTAAAGGTCTATAGCCCCTGGAACTGTACCTAGGGTCGGTTACCGGGAGCCAAAATCAACTTGATGGCCGTGGCGCTGCTGTCTGGAAATACCACAGATCAGGAGGCTTGGAGCCATAGAAATGATCCCCCAGTCTGGAGGCGAGAAGCCTGCTGTCAGGCCGTCAGCCTGGCCCTGCTCTGAAGCAGGGAAGGCTCGGGGAGAACGTCCAGAGCCTTGGCGTGGCAGCATCATGCCACACACTGCCTCCCGGTCGCTCAACGGCTGGGGCTGGCCCCTTCTTAATGTCAGCTAAAGACATCGCCATTGGCTGCGTGGTCCACTCTATTCCAGTACGACCTCATCTTCCCTTGATTACATCGGCCCTGACCCTGTTTCCAAAGAAGGTCCCGTGTCGTGTGCAGGCCCTGGAGGTTAGGACTGGGACCTGTCTGGGGGACATACAATCCAACCCCAGGGCTCAGGGCTAATGCTGCTGTAGTGACCAATCCGGTTAACTAACGAGTTTCACCAGCCCTTGCTTGGTGTGAAGTCTTCCTGTTGCATGGTCCCCCCAGCCCCACCCTCCCCCCTGGCAAGGGCAGCTCTTGTGATTGGCGGGCACCTCCCAGAGCCAGGTCACTCCTGCACTCTTGGGCCCAGAGCAGCCACATTTCTGCTTGCTTGCAGCCAGGTAACTGGGGAGCGGGGGTGGGTGGGTGGGGGGTGGCTCCTCCTGACACAGTCACCCCAGGCGAGGGCCTGGGAAGACCATGGCACATCTGATGGCATGGAGCCTCCGCCTGCTGCTCGGGGCCTGTTTCTGAGTGTCAGCCTGAAACCCTGAGTCACTGGGCGGGGGGGTTGGCAGCTGGGACCTGCTGGCTCCTGTCTCTGCAGGTGTGCTCCCAGGCTGGGAGGGGCCGGGAGCCACCATAAAAGGCTGGGGAGCCTGCAGGGTCTCTCATCATCTCCCGGCCCATCATATTTGGAGTCCCTATTTCTGGGGTGGGGCCAGGTTGCACCAGCCACTCCACCCTCCTCCTTACCAGCCCTCCACCCCACCCCTCCACAGCAGGACAACCGGTTTGAGGTGCTGCGTGCTACTCATCCTCATTGGGTGGGATGGGGGTTTGGTGGGGCACAGCTTGAGGTCTGAGGGGGGGGATCTTGCTCTCTGAGGCCACCCCAGGATATGCAAAGGCCACAGACTGCCGTACCTTTCCCACCTGGTGCCACTTCACCTGGCAGAGCCTCTGCATCCGTAAACGGGGGTACAGAGCGTGTACTTTGAATCCCACTTGGGAAGCCTGCTGGCAGCTCACTGATCTCCCCTCCCAGGCCACCGGCCTCCAGAGGTCAGTTCCTAAGACAGTGGAGCCCAGTACAGGCCCACTGTGCATCAGGCACCACGCTGGTCCCTCTGCAAACCAACACCCGCCCTGTCCTGTAAGGCAGTGGCGACCCATTTACAGCACAGAGAAATGGCTGGCTGAGACTTGAGCTGGGGTGGGGGAAGAGGTGGGGGTCTTCAGGCCCGGTTCTCTGGGACCACGTGAGAAAATCCAGGGCCTCCTTTCCCAGGGTGTGTGTGTGTGTGTCTGCACTGGCTACTCCCAGCAGCCTCCTGTGCCTCCCAGAGAAACCTGTCTGACCGCTTCCCTGCCCTGCCCAGTCCCCGGTCCAATGGGTGTGTGCTGCTGCCTCCTCCGCAGCCTTTCCCAGGGAGCCCCAGTGGGTGGAGGGTGGGTTCAAGCAACTCCAGAAGCTGCAGGAGGCCTTGATGACGCCTCCTGCCCCTGGGAGTGGTGGGTGGGGCAGAGAGGTGAGTGAGCTCAGGCTGGAAAAGGGCACTGGGTCCCCCATAGCCCCACCTCCACACCTCACTCCACCCTGGCTTGCAGCAAGCCCAGGACTCCCCTTGGCTGGAGCTCTCCACCCCTGGGCAGCCCCTCCTGGGCCTGGTGGGCCCTTTGGGAGTTTTCTGAATTCTCCCAACTGGGGAGGTACCCTGGTGGTGGTGGCACAGCAGTTACTCATTGGGCTGCTATGGGGGGTTAGCAGTTCAAAACCACCAGCCACTCTGCAGAAGAAAGATGAGGGTTTCCATTCCTAGTAACAGTCCAGTCTCGGCAACCCACAGGGACAGTTGTACCCTGTCCTATAGGGCCCCATGAGTCCGAATTGATTTGATGGCAGCAAGCTTGGTTTGGGGGCGATAGGGAGGAGGAGAGACTGGATAGGGCCTGGGCTGCAGTGGGGATGTCAGGCCTGGGGTCAGCTGACTTCCTGCCCCTCTCTTGTGTCCTCAGCATTCACAATGGAGGTAATGAACCTGATTGAACAGCCTATCAAAGTGACCGAGTGGCAGCAGACATACACCTATGACTCGGGCATCCACTCGGGCGCCAACACCTGTGTGCCCTCTGTCAGCAGCAAGGGCATCATGGAGGAGGAGGACGCCTGTGGGCGCCAGTACACGCTCAAGAAGACGACTACCTACACCCAGGTGCCCCAGAACCAAGGTTGGGACCCTGGGGCTCTCCCGTGGGTAGAAAAGCTAGGGGAGCTGCAAGCCACCGAAAGGGGGATCTTGGTCAGAGGGCTTTCTCCAGTTAGGGGACAGGAGCTTCTGGGCTGGACAGAGCCATATGCGGAAGAGGAGCTACCAATGAAGGTGGTGGGAGAGCCAGCTAACGGTCCCCTCCTGTCTCCCTCCACCCAGGGGCCCCCAGGGTGCTTGCTAGAGCCAGGCTGCCTACGAAACCTGGGTGCCTATTTGTGGGAACACCCCCACGCGGGATCTGGAGGGGTACCAGACGCCTGAGCTCAGAGCCAGCCCCTGCTTTCTGCTCTGACCTTCCCCGGCCGATCTGCCTTATGATACTGGGTGGCGCTCTGGGCCTCTCCTTTCCCGCCCATATAATGGGAGAGTTGTTGGTGCTGAGGGTATAATTAGAGTCATGAAATAGCAGGGTTGGAAAGAGACCCAGGGTGCCTACCTGATGGTTAAGGATGCGGGTTTGGGCTCTGGAGTCAGACTGCCTGGCTTCAGAGCTCAGATTGGGCTTTAAAAAAAAAAAATCTGTGACTCAGTTTTCCCATTTATAAAATGGAGATGATAGTACTTTTCTTAGGATGGGTGTGGGAGTTCAACGAGAGGAGAAAAGGCCAGCGAAGCACCTACCTCGCTGCCAGGCCCATCAGAGGCCCACCAGGGCTAGTCATCATAATGGTCGGGAACTTTTTTGTGCCTAGCATGCGAATCCTCTTTTCGGAGGATTTCCAGTGGCTGTTGTCTCATTTAATTGTCCCGAGGGTTTTGTGTGGTGGACAGAACAGGTGGAGCCTCTATGTTGACAGATTAAGTCACGGAGGTGTGGGGGTGGTGGGGCGGGGTGCCGGCTTAAGGTCGCTCTGGGTGGGAGGCAGTCCAGAGAAATACCACCCCCGCCCCCCCACCCCTGCAGCTCAGATCATGCATGTTGGTCCCCAGGTGACCTGGAGTACCAGATTTCTACCACGGCCAGAGCCAAGCGGGTGCGGGAGGCCATGTGTCCTGGCGTGACAGGGGAGGACAGCTCGCTGCTGCTGACCACGCAGGTGGAGGGCCAGACCACGAACCTGCAGCGGCTGGCGGAGCCCTCCCAGCTGCTCAAATCAGCGATCGTGCACCTCATCAACTACCAGGATGACGCCGAGCTGGCCACGAGGGCCCTGCCTGAGCTCACCAAGCTGCTCAACGACGAGGACCCGGTCCGTGGGGGGCCCCGGCTGGGGCGGGGCAGGGCAAGGGCAGAAGGCTGAGAGAAGGCAGGCCAAGCTGGTCAAGCCGTCTTCCCTCCCCTTTGGCTGCCCGCTCACGCCCCGCCCCGCCCCCCGCAGGTGGTGGTGACCAAGGCGGCCATGATCGTGAACCAGCTGTCCAAGAAGGAGGCGTCGCGGCGCGCGCTGATGGGCTCGCCCCAGCTGGTGGCGGCCGTCGTTCGCACCATGCAGAACACCAGCGACCTGGACACGGCCCGCTGCACCACCAGCATCCTGCACAACCTCTCCCACCACCGCGAGGGGCTGCTCGCCATCTTCAAGTCGGGCGGCATCCCTGCCCTGGTCCGCATGCTCAGGTGCGGCCCCGCCCCGGGCCCCCGCTCCTGGGGAGGGGACGCGGGAGGCAGGTGCCGTGGAGCAGATTGTTGGCTCTGCAGCCCCGCGTGACCGACCAACAGAGCGCGCGCCCCTACAGGGTTGACTTAAGCTGACATCATCCTGGGGGCAGATGCCCATGGAGGCGCTGGCTGGACCCAAACCCACAACCCTCTGGGTCCCGCCCTGGGCTGCATCCCCAGGGGGGGCAGGGGTAGCAGCAGCCTGGCTGACACCGTGCACACCGGCCAGGCGCTGTGCGCTCAGCACGCAGCCATCCTTCCAGCGCGCACTGAGGCCGTGCGCAAGGCTCTGAAGGGCTGGGTGCTAGCGCTGATGGCGGATCCTTCTGCGGGGGTGTTGGGAGAAGTGGGAGTCTCCCGGGACTTACCTCACCCTAACTCCCCGCCTGCCACTCCAGTTCCCCGGTGGAGTCAGTGCTGTTCTACGCCATCACCACCCTCCACAACCTGCTGCTCTACCAGGAGGGCGCCAAGATGGCCGTGCGCCTGGCGGATGGGCTGCAGAAGATGGTGCCCTTGCTCAACAAGAACAACCCCAAGTTCCTGGCCATCACCACCGACTGCCTGCAGCTGCTGGCCTACGGCAACCAGGAGAGCAAGGTGGGCCCCCCACCCTGTAGGCACGCGCCTATTCTGCAGCTGCCACCAGCGTGCTTCCTCCACACACTGCCCTGCTTCCCCCGGAGTCACGCGCCAAGTGCAACTTAATATCCGGTTTTCCCGCGACATTCCTCCCCATCCCCATCCTTGTCTTTGCTGTTTGATCCTCAAAACCACCCTCTGCGATGGCCAGCGTCTCATACGGTATTCTAAGGCAGGGCAGCGCTGGACAGTTTCCCCCAAAGCGTAGCGTTTGATCACAGGCTACATTTTCAGCCATGAGGCTGGGGTGGGGTGGGGTGGGGGGTTGTCAGAGTAACCAGCCTCTGACAGTATCACTGCTCTGTAGGCGATAATATATAAAGATTAAAGTCATGGAGAAGAAGAGAGATAGAAAGAAAATAAAATAAAGGAGTCAGGCACCTTTCATGGTAGCATGCTCACCTCAGCCCCTCTTGGTGGTCTGCGTACAGTTGGGAGACAGAGTGAGAGTGTATTTCTAACCAAGGCTTATAAATACTTAGGGGCATGCAAGCCCCCCTGATCACAGGCAACTACACACATCACAGGAAGGGATTGTACCATAGGCAATACAGCAATGGGAGGGGGACCATCTAGGGGTGTACAACCAATAGGAAGAGGAGGGATTGGGGGCACACATGTGACAAGATGGGCGGATCCCAGATTCAGGATGGCAGCCTAACCTTGGTCGCCCTGGGCTAGACCAGTTCCTTGGGCTTTCCAGGGAAACAATCATTATCCTTATCAGTAGGGTGTGAGTCCTACCTAGGGTGGGACAGACAGTAGTCTGATTGCTCTGGATGGCTGATGCCCTCAGGGAGGAAGCTTCTAAGCAGCTGACCACACAATGAGCTAGCAAGTGGAGACAACCTGGGGGGAAATCTTTTTGTATCCCATGGGGGTGGGGGTTGTTATTGTTTCTTATGTTTCTTTTTTTTTTTAACTTCAAAATATTTTATTTAGATATTTTCTATTTAATGGGATAATTAATATGAAATTTAATATTTAGCAACTTCCTCAGTTTTTGTTTTATTTTATTTAAAATTATTTCTTTAAAAA